TTTTTTTTTTTTTTAAATAAAACACTTTAATTTTTTCAGGCTTAGAATTAGGAGCACAGTTACTTTAGTTGAAAAGTAGCAGTAGCAGGAAACTGTCTGCTAGACCCCGTCTCTGATGCAGCTCATCCACACAATCTTTGTAGTGCTGGTTCTAATTTTTAATGGCTTTAGTATCTGACAGGTATGAAGTTTGGGGTCCATTTTTCATTTTATTGGTCCAATATGTAACACTAGCTACTGGATAGTTGGCTCTGTGTTGAAATTGTAAAGCTTATGGATGATGTAGTAGTAAACAGACTTGTTGTCACAGCTAATTAGTGTCTTAAGGTAAAACCCTAATAGAAAAGAAACTAACAATAAAAATGAAGAACCATGAAAAACACCCATTGAAACAGCAATGAAACAAGATGGATAAGAATGAGACCAAATAAACTCACAAAAACAAAAAACTTTGATCTGAGCCTTATTTTGCTATGAGTAGATGTATTTCACAACTTGTCAACTGATCAAAACCAAAAGAAGAAAAAAGTGATTTTTTTCAGTGCATTAGGAAGAAACGTCTCTGGAAACTGGAGACTCTTTGTATTTACAGCTCCAGTCTTTTCAGCAAATTTAAACAACCCCCATTGTTCCTTAAAAACACACCTCTTTCCTAAAACACTGAGGAACCAGGGCAGAAACATGTTTGAGATATGAAAACCACTTCTAACTGCCTCAAGCTGCCTTTGAAACCCTCATGACACAGAGAGGGGATGTTTGCTGGCCCCCACCCAGTCGCCTGGGGTTCTGGGGATGGATTGTTTATCCTCTTTTCTACACGGCTACTGTGGGAGGGTGTGCTCAGCTTCTCCACCTGAGTCGAGCCTAAGGAGAGGCGATTGAAGGCGACCTCTGGGGGTGTTTATTGTGTTTACTGGTCTGCAGGCTTCCCACGATTGTATGAATATGGACAGACTGACTGGACACCCCTCTGCTTTGAACTGTACAATATGTTTGCGTGTGTGTACTATAAGCGTGCACGTGTCTTTGAAGTGGATGAATGACCAAAAGATTTCAAATCTGCTCAATGAATGTGACTAATTTTAGACTTCAAAGCATATACAACAACGATTATATACAGGATATATATATATATATGTGTGTGTGTGTGTGTGTAGAGGATAACAGGGCATGCTGAACTGACAATATCAGAAAACTTGGACAGAACCAGCTTCCACAATCTTGCATTTGTAGTCCAGTTTGACACGATGTGACGACAAGGTAGTTTTGAATTTCTCATAGTGGGTTGTACATTCAACGTTGTGGTTAGTTCTGTGTTTTTTGGGATGCTCTAATGAAAGAAATGCCCCAAATAGAAAGATAGAGGAAGAAGCAACAGGAAGAAGCATTAAACAGGTGAGACGCTGTCTTAAAATATTCATCAACTTTTAAAAATGCCTCTTTTGCCGTCCACTCTGAGATAGTTTTAAATGAAACTTGTAACAAAGGCAGGTTTGGTTTGCACCATAGTGACTTGTTTAATGGCCGTCAGTGAAGATGGGAGATGAAACAAAGACGAGACCTCGTCTTCATCTTTGCTCGAGGGGAATTGTTTTAGGTCAACAAGCCACAATCCCCTCTACTTAAAGGCACAGATATAAACAGGAACCTGCATCCAGAGCCCCTTTCTTCCTCTGAACTCCAGGCCAGCTGCTCTTCCTCCTCATCGACTCTCCTGTGTCCTCTTCAGCCTCTCTGATGTGCCTGTTTAGTTTTTCAGATATTTGAGACAAAGGGCTTCAGTCAGTGGGATTCCTGTTTGGTTCTGAATGCAGTCTAAACTGGTTTGTTGGGTTTTGGTACTTTATAAAATACCAACTTGTCTTAAATGCAAATATCAACTAAATTCTCTAATATTTAATATTCTTTCCTCTCCTTTTTGTTGTTGTTGTTGTTGTTGTTGTTATTATTATATTACTACCACTGCTGTTTTCTGTTATTTTCTTCTCAATATAAATGCACACTCTCTATATGCTCATGTAAAGCTGAGGAGCACAAGCCAAAGAATTTCATTATGGATAAATGTGGCTACACTGTTATCTGTACATGACAATGAAACTTGAAACTTCTTTTATGTCACATAGAAACTGCATTGAATGTGCAATTCCGGACAAAATGATAAAATTTTTAAAAATTTCCGTTTTATTCATATAGTGCCAAATCACAACAACAGTCGATTAAGGTGCTTTATATTTAAGGGAAACACCCTATAATAATACAGAAAAAAACCCAACAATCAAACAAGCCCCTTTGAATTTCAGGGTGTTGACCACGAAAATTAAAAACGCCCTTTTAACAGGAAGAAGCCTTCAGAAGAACCAGGCTCAGGGAGAGTCAGTCATCTGCTACGACAGGTTGTTTTGTTTTTTTGTTTTTTTAAAGTACAATAATTTACTATATGTAACTAAATAAGTAACATTTTCACCTCAAAGTATGCATTGGTGGTTTTTGATCCCTTATAACTTCTTTAGTACGTCACCAACTCCAGATGTCACATGTATCCAAAATGTTGTTTTTTCAGCATATTTTTCGAATCTGTTTGTGACAATACGGCAATAAATTGAAATAAATCTGGAAAATTGCAAATATTTTGTTGTCCACATACACAGAAATTCAAACTTCTTAAGTGAAGCCAAAACTCACAGATTTGAAAATAAATTCTTCTACATATAGCAACGTAGTTGCTGCATGATGGCAATTTAACAACATGACATATGTGCTCAATATTCAGGCAATTTTGCTTTTATGTAGGAGTACAACCACAATATACCGAGGTGGCAACCAGCTGAGTCAAATCCCCCATTGCACAAAGCAGATGAGTTGGACTCATTAGCGCAGACTGACTCGGGTTGATTGCACCATGTTGGCAATTATTTGCAAACCATTGGCAGTTTGTCTGAGTCAGTCAAGGATTATCTCGAGACAGGTTACCACCCATCAGGTAACCTGTGCAGTCAACTTGAGCTTAAAGTGGTTGACTAGAGGTTGAGGGTGTTGCAA